GGGGATATTAATAGTAATAATAATAAGAAGAAGAAGAAGAAGAAGAAGAAAAGCAACTGGAAAAGCTAACACAATATGAGGATTTAAAGATCAAACTGCAAAGACTCTGGCAGAAGCCAGTCAAGGTGGTCCCAGTGGTGATTGACACACTGAGTGCAATGCCTAAAGACCTTGGCCTGCACTTAAACACAATCAGCACTGACAATAATAATAATAATAATAATAATAATACTTTATTTATATTCCACTCTCAGAGTGTTCACAACTACAACTCCCAAATGACAAAGTCTATTTTTCCCAAACTCCACCAGTGTTCACATTGGGCATATTGAGTATTTGTTCCAAGTTTGGTCCTGATCCATCATTGTTTGAGTCCACAGTGCTCTCTGGATGTAGATGAACTAAAACTCCAAAAACTCAAGGTCAGTGCCTACCAAACCCTTCCAGTATTTTCTGTTGGTCATGGGGTTCTGTGTGGGAAGTTTGGCCCAATTCTATCATTTGTGGGGTTCAGAATGCTCTTTGATTGTAGGTGAACTATAAATCCCAGCAACTACAACTCCCAAATGTCAAGGTCTATTTTCCCCAAACTCCACCAGTGTTCACATTTGGGCATATTGAGTATTCGTGCCAAGTTTGGTCCCGATCCATCATTGTTTGAGTCCACAGTGCTCTCTGGATGTAGGTGAACTACAACTCCCAAAACTCAAGGTCATGCCCACCAGAACCTTCCAGTATTTTCTGTTGGTCATGGGGGTTCTGTGTGGGAAGTTTGGCCCAATTCTATCATTGGTGGGGCTCAAATGTGCTTTGATTGTAGGTGAACTATAAATCCCAGCAACTACAACTCCCAAATGTCAAGGTCTATTTCCCCAAACTATGCCAGTGTTCACGTTTGGGCATACTGAGTATTTGTGCCAAGTTTGGTCCAGATCCATCATTGCTTGAGTCCTCAGTGCTCTCTGGATATAGGTGAACTACAACTCTCAAACTCAAGGTCAATGCCCACCAAACCCTTCCAGTATTTTCTGTTGGTCATGGGAGTTCTGTGTACCAAGACTGGTTCGATTCCATCATTGGTGGAGTTCAGAATGCTCTTTAATTGTAAATTAACTATGAATCCCAGCAACTACAACTCCCAAATGCCAAGGCTTTCCCCCCAAACTATGCCAGTGTTCACGTTTGTGCATATTGAGTATTCGTGTCAAGTTTGGTCCAGATCCATCACTGTTTACGTCCACAGTGCTCTCTGGATGGAGGTGAACTACAACTCCCAAACTCAAGGTCAGTGCCCACCAAGCCCTTCCAGTATTTCTTGTTGTCATGGGGGTTCTGTGTGGGAAGTTTGGCCCAATTCTATTGTTGGTGGGGTTCAGCATTCTCATTGATTGTAGGTGAACTATAAATCCCAGCAACTACAACTCCCAAGTGTTGATTGAGAAACACTATTCCACAGAGGAAATGCAGCCAAAGGACACAAGATGGCACTCTCTCTCTCCAGTCCTCTCACAATGGAACAGCAGGGAAAAGTTACTTTTCCCCCAATAATAATAATAATAATAATAATAATAATAATAATAATAATAAACTTTATTTATAGTATTATTATCAATATAATATGTGTATATATATATATATATATATATTATCCTAGAACAATATTAGTATGATATATTACTATATTGTATTATATCACTGTATTGCAATATTATTAGTAATATTGTATGTAATATATATGTTATATGCAAATATAGCATTATATTTAATATATGTAAATATAACAGTATATATGATATATATTAGTATTACTATATCACATTATTATTATATATTATTATATTGTATTATTGTTAATACATTATAGTATTATTATTAATATAATATGTAAATATATTGTATTATTAAACTAGCACAATATTGCTATGATATATTACTATATTGTATTATACCACTGTATTGCAATATTATTAGTAATATTGTATGTAATATATATATGTTACATGCAAATATAGCATTATATTCAATATATGTAAATATAACAGCATATATGTTAATATATTAGTATTACTATATTACATTATTATATTGTATTATTGTTAAGACATTATAGTATTATTATTAATATTATATGTATATATATTGTATTATTAGCCTAGCACAATATTGCTATGATATATTACTATATTGTATTATATCACTGTATTGCAATATTATTAGTAATATTGTATGTAATATATATGTTATATGCAAATATAACATTATATTTAATATATGTAAATATAACAGTATATATGTTAATATATTAGTATTACTATATTACATTATTATATTGTATTATTGTTAAGACATTATAGTATTATTATTAATATTATATGTATATATATTGTATTATTAGCCTAGCACAATATTGCTATGATATATTACTATATTGTATTATATCACTGTATTGCAATATTATTAGTAATATTGTATGTAATATATATATATGTGTGTGTGTGTGTTATATGCAAATATAACATTATATTTAATATATGTAAATATAACAGAATATATGTTAATATATTAGTATTATATTACATTATTATATATTATTATATTGTATTATTGTTAGTACATTATAGTATTATTATTAATATTATATGTATATATATATTGTACTATTAGCCTAGCACAATATTAGTATGATATATTACTATATTGTATTATACCACTGTATTGCAATATTATTAGTAATATTGTATGTAATATATATATATGTGTGTGTTATATGTGAATATAACATTATATTTAATATATGTAAATATATCAGTATATATGTTATATGTAAATTATGTT